GTAACAACTAATGAGTCACTTACTAACGTTCAATCCAAACGGTTGATGGCATTAAATACGGATATAATTTTGATTTTAACGCTCTTTTCACTGTAAATCCAGTTATGTTTGGGCGTGTATATCCAGGTTTTTATCTATAAATGAATAAGAGAGGTCAGCAAATCTGTGCTTCTCCGAAATACCAGTATCATCCCTTAATAACAGAAATCACCAACGGATAAAAATGAATCATGTATTCAGCTCCACGAGTTTTGTGTTCTATGCTGTAGCCAGGAAACTTTGTTTCTATAATCAAGTGTGATGAAATGGCGCATGTGTTTGCAGCCATCGCTGATGCGTTAAGACCGCTCAGGGTGTGAGATCACATAACACTTAGTCATGTACGTCTAGGGACTCCTTTGTTTAGTTACCTGTCAACAGAATGTGTTGTACACTGGCTCATATCATGCGTGATGTCGAAGCTAAGGACCTCTAGATCAAGGACACTCAGCACTGAGCAAAGTACGAACACTGCAACACTTTTTTTTATATGTGTTTAGACCATGTTATAAGGTAAAGTTCTAAATGAATGTTATGTTTTCAAGATAATTGATTCTCTGATATTCGATCTGATAAATGTTAATGAATATATATATGAATTTATTAATTTTTTTATAAAAGTTTGTTTGTTTGTTCGTTTGTAATTAAGCACAAAGCTACGCAATGGGCTATCTATGCTCTGCCCACCACGGGTATCGAAACCCGGATTCTGGCGTTGTAAGTCCGCAGACATACCGCTGTGCCACTGGGGGGCTCGTTCTTTCTTTCTTTTTAATAAAAGTTTGGTTATCAGTCATTTTTGGCCTTCTTTTTTGTCCTGAAGGTAGGAATGCCCTCTTTTGTCTATCCTGTGTGTGTTATTGTTTTGTTCTTACAAGTACCTTTTTGTTTTAGTCTAGGTCCGTAAATAATTAAAACACTTGTATTCCTAAAATGTTTTGCCTTGTTAGAAATATCAAGTAAAATATTTTCCCGTAAGCCAGAGATATAGACAAACCTTCGGATCTTTTACAAACATGTTAGTGATAGGGGAAAATATACATATATATATATATGTCTGTGCCTAATGTCTTTATATATATATGTATAGTCTTCTACCCATAGACGTAGCAAGTTATAACTGTAGTTCCTCAATCGGTGTACACAAAAGCTACTACACTTAACTGTTTATTCGACAGCTATCTATTTGTCACTGAAAACGCGTTTCACAAAAGCTGAAAATTCGAGTATATTATGCCGTCTCGACATTTTTGTATATAGCAAGGTGAAATCATTTCTGTCACTTTTTTATATGACCAATATCTATCTATATAACTGTTTTGAGCATGTCATTGTGACCTGACCGAACGTTTTTTCTTTTGTTGCTATAGGAATTTAAACCATAACTGAAATTAACAAATCAACGGTCTTGCATTAATTTGTATTTTATTCTAATCACTTTCCAAGTTTAAGTTGTTGTGTTGTGTTTTGAATTTCGCGCAAAGCTACACGAGGGCTATCTGCGCTAGCCGTCCCTAATTTAGCAGTGTAAGACTAGAGGGAAGGCAGCTAGTCATCACCACCCACCGCCAACTCTTGGGCTACTCTTTTTTCCAACGAATAGTGGGATTGACCGTCACATTATAACACGCCCACGGCTGAAAGGGCGAGCATGCCTGGTGTGACGGGGATTCGAACCCGCGACCCTCAGATTGCGAGTCGAGCGCCCTAACCACCTGGCCATGCCGGGCCCCAAGTTTAAGACATTCATTTTACCGAAGCACATAACAATAAGCACAAGCAGTGGATAGACATATTCGTCTGTTTATTGGTATTTATGTTAAGTAATAGACAAGACAGTTCTTCGGTAAGAACTGAAATGCAGAATACATATCTATACATGTGCAGTAAGTCCCCCCCCCCTTCTCTTTTAGAGTTGCGGCTTTTTCAAAAACATACCTGGAGCAGAATAAGTTCAATGACTCCAAGATAACCTTACCACTCATACTAATACTATACGCAGATACATCAAGTGTGCTACAAGTGCCTTCGAGCACTTAGGTGTGCTTACGGCATTGGCCAGTGCAATAGAGCTGAATCTGAAATTCTGTGTTGCAATGAGCTGAACATAGTTTTTTATCACTATATCTGATTACAGAAGGTGTGGTACCTGATTGGCCAAAAAACTAGTCTCGTTGGCCTGTTAGTTGTTCACGTGATTTCCGATCGGTGGTATTCTGATATCTACCATATTTGTTGATTTTATTGTGTTTTTCTTACCAGTCAGTGAACTCTATTTTTAACAGGTGTATAAGACCAGTACTTGTCTATGCGTGTGAGGTTATCCCACACGAGCCTTATATTCACTGCATACAGACACACAACTTGATCAGACAACGCTATAAAATGATTGATAATACAGAGAGATTTAATCAATATGCAGTGCTGTTATCAAACCACTGCGCATGCGTGTTGCTGTGCCAACTTCAATTCAACTGTCGTTACAGACTTTTATTCTAGTGCTTGACATGTGTTAAAAAGCAGTGCTTCATATATGTATGTTGCTTTAACTTATTTATCTTGTTCTCATAACATAACTTTCTGATAGGTAGCGCTGTACATTTTGAAAGCATACTTTGTGGTTTGTTCTCAATGAAACATTGGTACATTTTGAAAGGAATAAGATATTTATTTAGTGTGTTTCTTAGAATCAGTTCATTAATAGGGTATTCCTATATGGATGTGTATATGCTTCGATCTACACGTTACATTGCCTATATACGGCGGTGTTTAAGTTGTAAAGTTACATACTTGTCCACTAGGTCGTTATATTCCCCTTGTGATCATTGTTAAAATCCTGGGTTCGATTCCACGCAATAGACACATCACATATAGTCCATTGTATAGCTTTGCACTAAAATACAAACACAAAAGGATCGTAATTAGTTCATCACTGACCAATCACTCTCTTCATTATAATAAGCTGGTAATACAATAACAGAGAGGCAGAGAAAAATTTAAACACCTAATCGTTGTTTACATCCAACAAATAAAAGTTGAAGGTTTAATAATTTTCTACCATATAGAATTAATGTGGTTAGGAAGAACCTTGCTTTCGAAAAAATTTAGGCAATATTAGAAATTTAACTTTTCTTTTGTAACATATTATAATAAGATAATTAATACTTATGGTAATCAGGAAATTCAATGCTGCTGTATTTTTTACAACTAATAATAATAAAATTACCAAATTACCCCCCCCCCCCAGAAAATTGCTCCCAGCAGAATTGGCCCGAAATTAAAAACATTGTATTTATAATCACTTAACACTAACCCAGCTAACACACAACGTTTCTACAACGTTGCTGAATAGTTGTACATTGGTAAAATCCACAACGTCATGCATTATATGTTCTGACAACGTTGTGGCACTGTTAGACGTTAATGGTGTATGTATGTATATATATATATATATTAATGAATTAAGAAATTTATAAAAATTCCAATAACATTTTACATGGTTTAAAATACTGAACAAAATTTTTGATGTATTTTTTGTACGGTTTATGCTTTTGAAAATTTACAAAGCAGGAAAACGTTTTTTGTGCTGCCATCTAGTAACGATATAAGATATTGCCTTAGCCCTAATGAATAATTGTGCTCTTGTCAATGAAACAATTGGTATACTAGCACAGGATGAGAATTATGAACATGAAAAAAATTTAGAATTTTTTTTATATGAAAGACAATCACCCAAAAATTATTTCAAAAATGTTGTTTGAATATTTCAATATAATTATGGAAGAAATTAAACACTAAAGGAAGCTTGTGGTCAAACATTTGCAAAATATGATTTGTTGATATTTTTACCATTATATGGTTTTAAAACTAAAATACTATTCTTCCAAAATAAATATATGATAGTCGTGCTATTACATTGTATGTTCATGATTATAATTACTAAGTATATATATATATTTTTTAATGTTTATTGATAGCTATGAAGTGATATTTGATGTAAGACTATCCCTCAACTTATGAAACTTACACGTTGAAAAATATATACCTGAACAGTAAATATCATTCCAAGTGTGTTCTCAGTTTGGATGTAAAGCTTTAATTACAATATGTTCAATAAGCCGCGCGAACTCGTAACACAAAGCACACTATGAAGAACCATAGTAAAGGCGCAAATCTTATTTTCACATGTGATATAGCAAAATTTCAAAACATTCGATCAAATCACTAGTGTAACTTCAAGAAAGTAAATAATACTAAGTCATTCTCCACTAGTATTAATACTTTCAACATTACATTGTAATAAGTGTGAACTAAGTGAAAATATTTTACAAATACTTCTGTATAATGCAGAAAGAAAGTGTAAATGAAATGAGCTAAGAAAATGGAGACCAATTCAATATTTTGTTTATTTGATTTAAGCATCAGACAAGTTTTTTTTTTTTAGATTTGTTTTAAGGTTCCAAAAATACTTGCTTGAACTTTGTAAGTTTTATAGGAATCTATGCTAAGAGTCTGGTTTAACTATCGAAAATTCGCTGTTTAGTTTATTTCGGGTATCGAAGAATGTATTTAAGTAATACTTTTGTTGAAACTGATGTAGGAGTTTAGAAATACGATGAGTTTAGTTTCAACACCTAAACTGAAGCCAAGAACCTGGTTTAATCATCCCCGAATCTGTTTTGTTTTTCAAGCTTCCAAAAATCCTTGCTGATAATGTGGGTTAGGCAATTAACTATCTGTAAAGAATTCATTTTTTAGGAACTCAGTAACCTGGACAAATAAATTAAAGGTATTTAAAATGCGTTTTAATATATATATATATATATATATACTCATCCGGCAGTATTTAACACTCCATAAAACAATAATCTTTCAATCCTCTCACGAACTACTGAGATATTTAGTATATTATTGTTCACTGTGTAGAGAGAGACCTTGTACTGTATAATTTTTCTTTCTAGATCTTTGACTACTCGGACTTATCTCAGACTCCCAATCTTCTTCAGTCATCCGACCAACCAACGACTCCTAGTGGCAGACCAGCAAGTTCACAAGGGACAAAACGACAGTGGCGCGAATTCGGACGAAATACAGAAGCTGAAAAAATACAGATACCAAGACTGTAGGTTTTTTAAAACTCGTCCATTTCAAGAATTGTATTTATTGTTTTTAATTTAAAATAGATTTTGTGTTGTTGTTCGTTTCCTAATCGATTTGCCCCCAGTAGCACAGCGGTATGTCTGCGGACTTACAACGCTAGAATCCGGGTTTCGATACCCGTGGTGGGCTGAGCACAGATAGTCCATTGTGTAGCTTTGTGCTTAATTACAAACAAGCAAACAAACCTAATCGATTTAATAGAATTTTTGTCATTTCATTCTGATCAAATCTAGCTACTTACGTAGATCAGAATTAAACATCAACCCATAAACTAATACAGCTAATTTAACATACCAGCTCTAACTAGAAGTTTGTAATGACATAAACTTGTTAGTAATAAGAAATATATATACAGAACCGCATAAGTTTGTAATATCGTTTTTCTTAATTTTAGCATTATAGGGTTAATAGTTTCTTTACTTCAAACTGGCTATTATTTTGAAAACATTCTAGTTTGAAACTGTCATAAAATTGAGTCAAACGTTTCTTATGGTTTTCCACAAATATATTTTACTTAAAAACCTAATTATTTAGGTCGGAAAACAATATTATAGCATTTGTTTTAATATATGCTCAACCGTTTTTTTTCCAAAGTGTAACATAGCGTGACTTTTTCCATATCAATTTATTGCAGCAATGAATAGCAACGAGCTGACTAAAAATTTAACTTTCTCATTTTAATTAATGTGACTACTAAGTATAGAAAGTTTCCTACTACAAATTTGTTACACTTTCTGCTTAAACGATATACAAGATAAAACTAAAGAACTGTTACTCTACGAAATAACTTTTCTCTTATAATAACTTGTGCTTAAGACCTGTTACTCTACGAAATGACTTTCTCTTATAATAACTTGTGCTAAAGACCTGTTACTCTAGAGAAAGTCATTTCGTTATAATAACTTGTGCTAAAGAACTGTTACTCTACGAAATGACTTTCTCTTATAATAACTTGTGCTAAAGAACTGTTACTCTACGAAATGACTTTCTGTTATAATAACTTGTGCTAAAGACCTGTTACTCTACGAAATGACTTTCTCTTATAATAACTTGTGAGCAAAGTGTGTTTTAATACCGAATTGCATAATTAAATCACCAGCCACTCAGCAGGTGTGAATACAGGTTTTCGCTTGATTGGCGTTAAGGGTATGTTCCAAGTCTGTAACCTTTGAAAGAATACTTTTCATTGGAAGTTAGGTGTTAATGATAGTTTAAAGTTTCTTGAATAGTTTTGTTTTTAACATCAAACCACGGGTTTGAATATCTAATATCTTTGGTTTCAAACATAAAATAGTATGCTATCTTAGATTAAGAAATAAAATAATTGTTCATTGGCTGGGTCTTTTGGTATTCAAATCACTTCCAGAATAAACTGAATGAAAGGTATTTCGTATAAATCTACTTTAAATAAACAACGCCAAATTACAGATGGAGCGAGAGAGTACACCAAAAAATTATATAAGTTTCGTGTTTAAAAAAAAAGGAAACACATAATAAATAAACGGTGGAAAAAGATTTACAAGTGATAAAAAATAATAAACTCAATGTAGTTTTCATATGATACACAAGCGAGTTTAAAAGAATCTCGGAGCGAGTGCACATGAACAACGCGTTTACAAAAATTACGTTCGTCATCTAACATTACAATAATAGTAAAATACAGTGTATTATAGAGAATTTCAAAACTGAGAAACACTTAATAGAAGTTTTTCCAACAATGTTTCATATATATATATATATACAGATAACTCGAGTCGATTTTCGATTGAACATAAAGTTTAAAAACCCGATTGAATCATTGTCTTTTTACCATTAATTTATTCACGTTATGAGCTTAAAATAAAAAATTTGGCAATTTTGTGTTGGAATGTAGGACTGGCACCCATAGTGCTACGAACTAAGAGTAAAACAGTGTTGATTCTCAAGGGACCAATCCTCTTTGTTCTTTACTCTCATGTTTTGGAATCGACATAGCAGAAATAGAACTAGTATTGTTTTGAAAGATCATTTTCAGTGAGTGACTGTGAAAGAAGAGTCAATGGGTAGAGGAGGAGTCACGAGAAGATCTTGCTCCAGGATATTTCAGATCCTTGCTACTCCATTACTTCTGTTAAGTATAAAACAAGACTGTGTCTGGTCATTGTGCTGCCCATTATAAAATTTAGTTTCCCGGTTTAAGGGTTGATTATTGCCGTATAATCCAGATTTTTTAAGGGTTGATTATTGCCGTATAATCCGGATTTTTTAAGGGTTGATTATTGCCGTATAATCCGGATTTTTAAGGGTTGATTATTGCTGTATAATCCGGATTTTTTAAGAGTTGACTATTGCTGTATAATCCGGATTTTTTAAAAAGAGTTATTCAGCATATCTTATGCTTTGGGTGCCAGTTCCAATGTTCGCTCAGAAGTTTGAGAAATGTTAACATTAGCCAAAAATTAACTAATCATTTTATTTTTGTCAAAACTGTATTTCTTAGAGTATATACTAAAAACCAAACAGAAAATCTTAAGGGAAGTTTGCTCTACATTCAAAATAAATTGTCTTACTAAATAGTTGAAACAACTTGCACTGCACAAAACACATACATATTAGAGGTTTCTTAAATCAAACTATATTACAAGTTCGTTATAATTCTAAGGCTAAGCAGTAATCTAATCATCAGAAATAATGTCCTTAAGCCTATGTTGACCTTACGTAATTTGTATTTTAATCGCCTATCTTCCCAGGAATCGGAAATTCAGTTCGATTCAACGGTAGGATATATCTTATAAAAAGGATCAGTGGACTTTTTTGTTTTTTTTTACGAAACTTCTCTCCACATATTTTGTTACATAACAGAGAAGAAACATGTCTTGACTTTATATTTTGAAGCAGTGTTAGTATGATTAAACTGGGCACAATGAACAATATGGGAAAAGCCGTCATTTTGTGGCATAATTCAACCCTATATTAAAAAAAAACACATTATATAGAAGTTGCGGGTGTTTTTCTACAGCTCTCACATTATTCATTTATTGTAGTTTACAGATTGGGTTTATGAATTGTGTTTTAGTTTACTGATTGGGTTTATGTATTGTGTTTTAGTTTACTGATTGGGTTTATGGATTGTGTTTTAGTTCACAGATTAGGTTTGTGGAGTGTGTTTTAATTTACAGATTAGGTTTGTGGATTGTGTTTTAGTTCACAGATTAGGTTTGTGGAGTGTGTTTTAGTTTACAGATTAGGTTTGTGGAGTGTGTTTTAATTTACAGATTAGGTTTGTGGATTGTGTTTTAGTTCACAGATGAGGTTTGTGGAGTGTGTTTTAGTTTACAGATTAGGTTTGTGGATTGTGTCTAGTGTTTTTGTTTTTTACTTATGTCCATAGTAGTTCAAATATGTTACCGGCTATTTCTGTTTTTTTTCTTTTTCAATCTGTACACAGTAAAATACTTATATTTACTGGTGCACTTTCCATGCTACATCTTATTAAGACAGTCCTTGGCATAATCACAGTTGTCGAAGTAGGTCAACAAACACCTAAATACCAAAAGGTGGCTTTATATTGATGTTTTAAAGAAACACGCCTAAAGTCCTTAAGATTAGAATTTTACATGCATGTATTAAATCTGAGTGAGTAAAAAGTTACGTATAACCTCGAAGAATTTTGATGTAATATTTCAAACCGGACGCTGTGTAAGAAGAAACTTAGTGCTTGTTCACGTAAACTGTTGATATTAGTTTTTATTTTGGAGTTTACCAATATAACACAGTCCTTGGGAGTGTCTCAATCTGCTGGTAGAACACACCGTATACGTGCTCAAATTTAACATTGCTAGCGAACTAAAAGAAAAAGAAATGGCAAAGTTTTAACTATCACGAAAATTAACTCTTGCAGTTGTGAAGAAAGTAAACTCAAGTGAAATAGCGGACTCTATATGTTACTTTGACGGCAAACTGACTTAAATTCAGCTGCCATTAGAAAAATTCCCGAGTTGAATCCAATTCCAAATAAAATGCAGATACAGACATTGAGAGCTATTTTATAATGAAATGAAGCTTATTAGGAAGTGAACTGAGGCTATATTTCTTGGTAATTCTAGTTGCTTTAGGGGCCACCAAAACTAGTTGTTCACCTGTTGTCTTTATTCTGTTCACTACTCAAGTCAAGATGTATTTGAAGGCTCTCTTATTTGTACTGGATTACATTTTGATGATGTATCCATGTCATATATGGGACGTTTTTCAGTCATTTTGTGATGTATTGTGAAGACTTCTCTGTCGCGAAGTACGCTTTTGGAAATATTCAGAACTCAAGATAGTGTTTTTTAGTTTTCTTTTAGACAAGCTGTGTGTTTTTGAAGACGTGTACGTCTACTATTCAAGCTCGGTTACTTTTGGAAATGTCACCCCACCTAGTTAAGGCATAATTTTGAGACGTCTTTCAAGCTATCTTTTAGAAATAAGATTCTTACTTAAGTTGAGGTAAATGTTTTAAAACATTTAAACTCCAATTATAGACCAGTTTAATGGTGTCTTTTTCTTAAAGGTATGTATTTTACATAACATTGGACATTTTGTAGCTAGGCTTTAATGTATTTTAAAATGATTAAAGTCAAAGTCGTGTACATTTTCATGAGTATTTTCACTTAAAGGACAATGCTTTTTGAATATTTTTTTTTTTTACACATAGGAAACAAAGCGTTTTTGAAACATAATTTTACTTAATAATTAACATTTTCACACCAGATATTCTGATGTTGGTTTCCGATATTTCCTCGAAGCTTCCATTTCTACCAGTCAAAGACGGGAAGATGACAGAATAACTTATATTAATAAAGGTAAGAAAGGAATTGTATAATGAGTTGTTGTTTAGATTGCTATTCAGGAACCTTGGTACTATAAACACACATATAGTTGTGCAAGTTCACGTATGCAACAACTGAAATGATAAGTTTTAAACAGGTGATAGTTATTCCAAAAGCTTTTATTAAGAAATAAAATATAACGCACCTGCGAATAAGAGGATACATTTGGATAAGATTAAAAAGAGGATAAAGAGTATATCCTGTTGCTCAGTTATGTTTCTGGAATGATACAGTTTGTATCCGTTTAACGCGATTAAAGCAATCGATAAACGGAAATCGAGAACGTTTTATACTGCTAAAAAAAGTATTGAAACAGACATGTCTGCTGAATATCGTTCCCTATGTGGGCGCCACCGTTTCAGTAAACATGAGTGGTATGTGAGTCACACGTAGAATTTCGTGGCGCACAAGCAGAGAACAACTCACCCACAAAATGCGTTATAAGTTACACGATGTGTTGTATGATGATCGTTGGTTTATCTATGGCAGCGTAGGTGGTTAAGGCTGAATCATTGTCAATTCCACACTATTTTCTATTTAAATGCACTGATTAAGTAAGAACTGCTTACGTGGAAATAACCTTTCCTCTGAGCCTAACCTATAACTCTTTTTTTTTAACTTTATAATTTGGAATTGCTTAGAGCAATTTTATGATTTCTGATCGCTTCATTTGTCAACAGAAAATGTAACTATTTAATATTTTAGTTTTGTTACAAGAGACACGTGTAGTTTAACTAGACCTACTACTAATTGGTCGGCTTTAATTAAGTTTTTTAGTTTACTGATTCTACAAAACAAGTGAGAAAGTGTGATCAATTAATAAAATGAGAACAAAACCTAAGATAATAACTTTTCAGTTCGCTTGTATAAGTGATCTACAAATTTAAGTAGGCGTACCAATAAGTAACAAACATCAGAACATCAACAAAAACCAACTCAATTTGTTCAAGATATATAGATATATTTGTAGACACGCATAAGTAACGTTTTGCCATAAGTTGTGCTTGAACAAATTGTTTTAGGCAAATATCAGGAAAATGATGCCCGGTCAGTAAATATTTTATAAAATAAATAATCTACTTATTGCCTTTTTATACACATTTTTATTTAAGT